TCCGTCGAAGTTTGGGTGGTGCTACAGTCCCTTCAGCGGTGCCAAGTTGACTGTCGGTATATCTAAGTGCTGAAGTGTTTGTAAAGTAGAGCTACGATGGCCATCCGAGTACAGAACCAGAGTTCGAACCCTATCCAACTGCAGAGAAGTGTAAGACAGGGTGATGTTATATCCCCGAAACTCTTCACCGCTGCATTGGAAGACGTTTTCAAGCTACTGGCCTGGAAAGGATACGGTATTAGCATCAATGGCGAGTATATCACTCACCTTTGATTTGCCGACGATATAGTCCTTATGGCAGAATCGCTGGAGGACCTTGGCACTATGCTCAATGACCTCAATGGTGTCTCCCAACGGATAGGTCTTAAGATGAACATGGACAAAACAAAGATCATGTTTCATGTCCATATCACACCTATGCCGGTAGTTGTTGGGAGCACTATGCTCGAATTTGTTGATGAGTACGTTTACCTGCGACAAATAGTCCGACTAGGTAAATCCAACTTCGACCGAGAGGACAATCGACGGATTCAACTCGGCTGGGCAGCGCTCGGGAAATCGACACATCTTCTCGTCAGGTATACCTCAATCTCTGAAGACTAGATTGTACAACCAGTGCGTGTTGCCAGTGATGACTTACGGATCTGAGATGTGGTCCTTCACTGCTGGCCGTAGGAGGACGCTCAAGGTCGCTCAGCGAGTTATGGAGAGGGCTATGCTCGGAATTTCTCTGCGTGATAGACTCAGAAATGAGGATATCCGCAGTAAAACCAGAGTGACCGACATAGCCCAACGGATTAGTAAGCTGAAGTGGCAATAGGCCGGCCATATAGCTCGAAGAACCGATAACCGATAAAAGTGAATAAAGGTTCTCGAGTGGTAGCCTCGTACCAGTAGGCGTAGTGTAGGGTGACCCCCCACTAGATGGAGTGACGACCTGGTAAGACATGCAGGAAGTCGATGGATGCAGGTTGCTCAGGACCGTGCTTTGTGGCATTACTTGGGGGAGGCCTATGTTCAGCAATGGACTTGTGAAGGGCTGTAATGATGATGATGAGTACAAAGGAAAAACGTCAGATGCGAGAAAGTTGATATAAACCTAGAAAAATTAAAAAGAGATAAAAAGAAATCTCCTAGGAAAATTTCTATAAGTTAAGAGATTGTAATAATGCAGCAGAGTTTATAGTAAGCAATATACATAATATAATATTGAAAAACACTTTGATAAGGACAGTACCCAAGAAAAAGCAGCCACTTAAACCATGGATAACCGTAGAATTATTAAAATGTAAGCGAAAAAGGGATAAAATGCACAGAAAACTTAAGCGGTGTCCTCATGATGAGAGTATTTTAAACGAATACAAGCAATATAGAAACATATGCAATAATATTATAAAAACTCAAAAAAGACACTATTTGAGATCTTTGTTAGAAAAAAGACGTGGGGACATCAAAGGTACATGGGAAGTTAATCAAAATATTAACAACTTAAAAAAGGTTGGCAGTACACCCTTTAATTTAATCTGTTCTTGTGATGAGTCACCTAAAGAATTACTTAATAAAGTGAATATATACTTTGCGTCTATTAGCAAAACACTAGCTGAAGCTACATAAAAGCTACTTGGTGAGACGGAAGAGAGGCTAGCAAGTAGGAGTGTGCACAGTAAAAGCTGTGTCGACTCAATAATGTTCTTACCCATTGACCTATTAGAGATAAAGAAAATTATACAACAGATGAAGGACGCAAAAACACCGGGATGGGATAAGATTAGTACAAAGATCATAAAACAATCCATATATGTTCTCGTTGATCCACTATGTTATTTATATAACCTGAGCCTGGAAACAAGGTTTTCCCAGTTGCTTTCAAAAAAGCCATTATAACCCCAATATTCAAAAGCGGAGAAAAACAATTAGCAAGCTATTATAGACCAATTGCACTTTTAAGCAGGCTTTCTAAAATTCAGGAAAAATAGTTAATATAAGACTTACGAAATTTCTTGACCAAAAAAACCTCATCTCGTCTAATCAGTATGGCTTTAGGAAGAATAAATCTACAGAAGATGCTGTTTTAAGACTTACTACACTAGTGACAAATTATTTATATAATAATTATCACTGTGTTGGTGTCTCTTTAGACTTACGAAAGGCTTTTGATACTGTCTCACCGAGGATACTTCTGAAACGAATGGAGCGAATGGGTATACATGGGATCCCCTATGACTGGTTTAAAGACTACTTAAATAATCGAAGCCAGCAGATTAAAGTTGGCACACACATTAGTGACGAAACAAACTGTGGTTACGGAGTCACACAAGGGAGCACTCTTGGACCAACTCTTTTCCTGCTCTACGTTAACGATCTCTACAACATAGAATAAGAAGGAGCTGATTTATTAATGTACGCAGATGACACTGTCCTGCTATTTCATCAGACTTGGGATGGTGTGCAAAAACTTACAGAGAGAGGACTGTGTGAAGTTTCGAAGGCTGGAAAATAGTTTGCTATCGTTAAACATAGAAAAGACGAAATATCTATGATTCAGGATAACAGAGGGTACTAAACCCTCCAGCAGCTTTAAAGTCAAGATACACACTTTCCCATGCAATATAATACCCTTACTTCCTGGCAGAGAATGTGGTTGTAAAGAGCTAGAAATGGTTAAATACGCGCGATATCTAGGAGTGACATTGACGAGAAGCTAACTTGGAACCGTCAAATTTCAAATGCCACAAGTGGAGTAAGAAAGCTCATTTATATTTTTAAGAACCTAAGAGAAATTGCAGATAGCGACCTCCTCCTATATGTGTACAAGGCTCTTTGCCAATCTGTCACAACGTATTGTATTGCAGTGTGGGGAATTGCAGCGAAAACTCATATGCTGGGACTGGAAAGGGCTCGAAAAGCCATTCTAAAAGTGCAATGTCTTCTCCCTTTTAAATATCCCTCACACGCTTTGTATCAACACTGTACGGGTTCTCACTGTGAGACAATTATACTACAAATCTGTAGTTCTCAAGTACCATAGGGAAGTTGTGCCGTCTTTGCCAACGTCTCAGCGAAGGAGAGAGACATGTCCCATGGTACGGACTCGTACGGAGTTTGCCAAGCGCCAATATTACGCGTTGACTTCACGGATGTATAACAAATTAGGTAATATTCAACATTTACGAAAATTTAATACCTATAAATTAAAGAAATATATAGAAGACTTCATGAATAAATTAAATTACAAAGATGCAGAACACATGATGGAAAGTATAAAGTGAAACGCAAACAAGTACTCGTACACACACACACACACGCGCACGCACGCACACACGCACGCACGCAAGCACGCACGCACTCACGCACGCACGCACGCACGCACACACGCACGCACGCACCTACGCATGCACGCACGCACGCACGTACGCACGCACGCACGCACACACGCACACACGCACGCACGCACGAACGCACGCACGCACGAACGCCCACCACACGCACGCACGAACGCACGCACGCACGAACCTCGCACGCACACGCACGCACACACACACACACACACACACACACACACACACACACACACACACACTGCTGGGTACTGCCATTGCTCGTTGGCTATGGATAGAGGGGTAAGCCCTTTATCACTAGAAATGACGTCATTATATAATGGATCATCCGATCTCGCCAGGAAGTAATCACGGAGGCTGCACACTTCGCGTTTATGCATGGTGAGCGCGATCAGAAAACCACGCCCACCATGCTTTAGCGGCAAGTACAGCCTCATTACCGACGATCTCGGATGATGCATCCTATGGGACGTCATGGTAGTGCGGACTTTTCTATTCAGGACGTTAAGTTCGGGCTGAGTCCACCTGAGTATGCCAAAGGTATATATGAGGACAGGCATGACCCAACCGTTATATGCGTGTGTCTTATTCACACCGGACAAAAGGCTGTTAAGCACTTTGGTCAAGCGTGCATAAAACACGTCGCAAACTGACTGTTTCATACCAGCCTCATCGATACCGATGTTCTGTGTAATACCCAGGTATCGGTATGTTTCAGCCTCGGAAAGGGTCTTTAAGTTGACGGGCATAGATAAATCTATGCCCTCAGAGTTAGCAACCCTTCCCCTTTCAACATGAAGGACCGCACACTTATCCGTCCCCAGCTCCATTCCAATAGAATTGCTAAATTCACAAGTGATGTTTAGCAGTTCCATAAGATGGGAGCGACTGGAGGCGAATAACTTGAGGTCATCCATATAGAAAAGGTGGGTCACTTTCGTTCCTCCCTTCCGTAGCTGAAATCCTCTCCCGAAGCCCTCCAGTAAGGTACTGAGAGGGTTCAGAGAGAGGCAGAACCAGATTGGACTCAGACAATCGCCCTGGAAGATACCCCTTCTTATCCTTATGTGGTTCTCCGCAGCCATCATCCGCTCGTCCAGATAACAGAGGATCGTACTCCACTGCCCCATACACTGCTCGAGGAAGTCTCTCACTGTACAGTCTATCTTGTACAGCTCGAGGACCCTCTTTAGCCATGTATGGGGCACCGAGTCGAATGCTTTTCTGTAGTCTATCCAGGCGGCGGAGAAGTTCCGACGGTTGCATTTCACCACGTTGCCAATGACCGCGTCAATGAGGAGTGGTTCCTTGGTTCCACGACCACCGCCCCGACATCCAGACGTGACATCACCTGATTTAGCTCCAGGTGACGAGTGATTCTCGCGCTCAAAATGGATGTCAGTGTCTTATATATAGTGGGTAAACACGTGATGGGGCGGTATTTGCTCGGGTCTGCGGTATCCTGATCTTTAGGAACCAAGTGAGTGATCCCAGTAGTGAAGAGGCTCGGGAGCGACTTCTGATCGAGAGCCTCTTGATACTGTCGGGCGAGCACAGCGTGACACACTACAAACCCCTTCAGCCAGTAATGATGCAGCCCGTCGAGCACCGGACTTTTCCAGTTCAGGGCCCTACGGACCGCCTTAGCCACGTCTTCAGGTGTTATGGTGACGGGTCCATAGGTGTAACACTTGTACTCTGTCTCGCCACAACTTCCATCCAACGGCCCTCGCTGTGGTTTACGGGCTCTGACCACAGGCCACGCCAAAATGCGACAGTGTCAGCCTGATCTGGTCCTGGGCCCGCTCCACATACCTCTGGTCGCTCCAATGATTTATAGAGCCTCTTCTGATCACTCTGGAAGAGACGATTCTGGTTGAACCGCCTTGACCTCTCGCTAAATCGTCGAATCCGCTTCCCACAAGCAGCGGTTTTTTGTTTCAGGTCATCTATGCGCTCCGTTAGTTTCTGCGTGATATCCGGCTGGGACAAACCAATATTTGTCCCAGCAAACGCCATTCTAACGGTGCTCACAACTCTCGGTCTATTATTACCCGACCTGAAGCTTGTCAGTCTGTCGATAAGGGCCCTTGCATTTGCGATACGGTCCTCGATCCTTTTTCTCCAGGCTGGGATGGCACTACCTTGTTGAGTAGCACGTCCAGCCATGGTAAGTTTGGCGCCAATAATACGGCATACTGCCAGTGCGGCGCCAAAAAGAATTGAGTCCGTCTCGCAAAGGTCCCAGCTGGCTTCCAAATAGGTCACCAGCATTGGGTTAAGAGCCCGCACGACAGCCAGATTTCGCTTGCTAAGGGGTATGCGGGGAAGTCGCGGTCGATTTTCGAGAGGCATGCTGCGCGTTTCCAGCATCGACTCTTCCAATATGCTCCTCATTTTCTCTAGTTCGTGGGGGACTATTCCATCATCGTCTGAATCAACCACAAATGGAATATTGAATGCAGCGTCCACATTTGCAGTTTGCTGCGCAATTAGTGGCGCCGCATTCCCAGCCGTAGCATTTCCATCCGATGAGGGAACAGCCTCACGTCGTAGTCGTTCGAGTTCGGCGTCACCAAATATGTTGGAGCGCAGGATGTACCGAACTCGGTCTGCCAGGTTTTGCTCAGTGACGGATAGAGATGGCTCCAGCTCTGCAAAAAAAGCGATGCATCCGAGCCCGATATGCCAAACATCCGGTTTCTTCCCCTTTTGCCCTAAAGTACGCCCGCAGTGCGTTTGCGTTCATTAATTTTGACCAACGCTTGCGACGTGCTCCACCAGCGGCGGGTGCCGCTTGCTGAGTCCGAGAAGACCCAGCCGACACCAAGCCTTCTGGTGGGGATGATGGATGCGGAGGGCTGCTAGGTGACCGTACAGCTTCTCGCGCTCGGCTGGCGGCCTGCATGCTGCCGCGTCCAGCGCCAGCTCCAGACGCGCCCCGGCGACCCCCAGGCAGCGGCCCTATGCACGTTCCTCTTTGTACGATCATCCATTTATGGGCGCCAAATAACGGGAGCCGCCCAAGCCCGGCACCGTTTCGTGGTTTGGTCATATGCACAAACGGACCTTTGCACCCACAATTTTGCCCAGGCACGGCGCTCACACCTCTTGGCAGGGCGCTGACTGACTGCGCCGACGTAGTAGTTTTGTCACGTAACTGTTACGTCAGCGGGCGATGGGATCGTCACTTCCCTACGCCTTTTTATTATTATTATTATTATTTATTTTTATCACATATATTATCACAAACCTATAATATTATAAATATAAATACAATCTATATAAATAATATTATTATTTCGGTTATTATCCACCGCGGCGAGGAATTCTAAGCCATCGATGAAGTTAGGCATCCAAAGATAGGAACCTTCTTACTATTCGAGCAGTATTTAACCCTTAAAGCGGCAAAGCACTAATAAAACATTATTTTTTGTTAAAAAGTCTATATTTATGTATTGTTAGGGATGTAATTAAATGTAAATATAAAATAAAATGAAAAAACATTTATTTAGAAGTTTTTTTAACGTCCCATAAAACGGACAGCACTGCATACGTAAAAAATCTGCTCTTTTATTTAGCGTCCTAGAAAACGGACAGTGCTGGATACTGTAAAAATTAAGAACTTTGACATATTAAATAACAATTCGATTTATAAATATACAAAAACGTGGGTTTAATAAAACAATCAAATTGGCAAAAAAGTATTTTCAGTTAAAAAAAGTCTTAAGCAATTAAACAGTAATTAATTAATTATTTTTGTGTATGAAATTGCAAAAAAACATTTCTTTTTTTGAGTCAGGCACAATCTTACATCGCATTTCAGGCATTTTATCACTGTTTTCCCTTTAGTACAAAGACGGCACCGTCCTTGTGTATCGATATCGGGTAGATGGTTGATCCCATCTAACCGCATCTCTGGTGGCGGCCTCGGAACTATAGGTTTAGTGATTTCAGCTGAAATTTCTGAACCTATTACAATTTTTATACGCGTGTCTGATTTTATTAGTGCATCTGCAATTTGGATTCGAAACCTTTTCAATGGTATAGAATTATCACCCATTTCCTGCATTTCACGTTTGTACACAAGCCATGCATTATTCAGAGAAATGTCGATGAGGTGGCTGAAAATGTTCATATACCATTTCTTGCTTTTCAGAGCAACCCTATATAAAGAAATCAACATATCGGCTTTATCTACTCCACCCATTTTTTTATTGTACTCCTTGATAATGTGTGGACATGAAACAGGCCGCTTTTCGCGCACATCTTTATTATATCGTAAAATGTTGGTAACAGGCTCTTCTCCACAATATGAACTCGCAAAATTTACATAGTCATTGTCCACCCACTTCACAATTGATAGCTTATTTTTATTATCTGAAATCATTACATAGCTTCCTCTACCTTTTTTCTTCAGCACTTTATCTTCGATAATATTCTGCCCTCTAAGTCTGTCCTTCCTTATGGTCCCCAAAGAAAGAATTCCATATTCATTTCTTAGATGATATATTAGCTCCAGAGACGTGAACCAGTTGTCAAAATAAACAGTTGATAAAGGTTTATCCTTTATAGTTTTACATAGCTTTATAACTGTTCTCCCGCCAATGCCGAGATAATTATTTTCCCACTCTGTAAAATCAGCACGGTCAAAACTGTTGCCACCATCGTATGCAAAAAAGTCATATACTATCCCGGAATTCCCAGCTCGAACAAAAAATTTAAAACCCCATTTTGTGGGTTTTTTCGGCATATATTGACGCCGAGATCCAGCCTTTTTACGTTTATACGGCACCATCATCTCGTCTATGGAATATGACTTTTCCTCTTCAATCGCCAAACAATTTAGCCGTAAGTGCTCCATCACGGGCCTAATTTTAAAATAACGATCTACATGATCATCCTTCGCATTATTACTAAAGTGTAAGTTTCCTCTTATATTCTCGTGTTTTTTGAGAGACATAACGTCTGCGATAGGAACAAAACGAGTACCTTGTGCCCAATAATCAGCATATGCTGGCATGCTTACTATTCCCATTAAAATTTCAATACCGACAAAGGATTTTATGTCTTTGACTGTTAGATTTATTGACTTGCCTTGTTTTTGCATAGAGTATAAATTGGTCATTTCGACGATGTGGTTCCATAAATCCTCATTCCAAAGCTTCTTGAAATAATCGAATGATGTTTTATCCGTATAATCTATAGAAGGGTGAAATTCTGAATCTATGTGTACCTGATTTCTGAATTTTTGGCGTTTGAACTCGAATTCCATCTGTTCTAGTTTTTTTCGTTTATTTCTGACTTGGTTGGATGTAGAAGGAACTGCATCATTTGCATTTCTTATGTTTCTTGTGCGTCGTGTTGAAATACCCAGTGGTGTTACTAGGGATGGTATTGATTGATGCGGCTGAACATTGGAAATATTTCTTGGAGACTGTACTGACGTGGTGACCATAGATGGAGAAGGTTGAAGAGAAATATTGCTCGTTGCAAGGGAATCCACCAAAGTATAATAACAATTATTTAATAGAGAAGGACTCGCTAATTCTTCATCAAAAGCGTCATCAAAACCATTTAAAATTCTTCCAGCCCTGGAGACAGAGTTCGACAGGAAGATGAATCGTCCAACACTATACGTGAAAATACTCCTTCTTCATTATTCTCATCATTTTCAACGTCGGATGGTTCCGAATCTGACGGTGGAATCATAGCCAAAATTCTTTGCGCACCCCATGCTTTGATATTATTAGTGGAATTCCCTATAACAAGCATATTTAGCATTTAAAACCAATCACCATGAAGCATTAGACATTAAAAAAATGCATACGTGCTCGTTTAGATTATTATTGTTAGTAACATTAGCAAAGTCCGTTATTTGGGACACCTAAAATTAAACACCTAGTGTTGATAAAGCGACAATGTCCGTAAAAAGTGACACCTATAATTTAGCATAACAATCTTATAAATTCTCATGCAAAGTAATTATAGATTGATCAGAAATAAACAATAAACTCACCTCCTTTCGAAATAACCGCAGGTCGCAGTGGTTTAACCATTTTTATACCAAATTTCTGCACTGTTTTACGAATAGCTGCCGAACATCGACTTGACAGATTTCAAATCGAACGACAGTTACTGTTGTGATGCGCGCGACGCGTAGTGTCTGTGCGAGGAGGATGGATATATCGCTCTCTTCACGCTTCGTTCAAAAACAGTGCCAGTTTACGTTTAGGAACCTTTTTAATTTTGATAATTTAGTTGTACCAAAAAACGGACAAAAATGCATTAAGGGTTAATAAGGCCGATTTTTGAATTAATGTCTTCAGCCATTTGCCCAAACCTAATTTGGACAGATGTGTCGGTACATATCAAATGAGCTTAAGTCCACCATAGACATTTTCAAACATTTTTGGCAATCCTGATTTAGGCGCCAAAAAAAATGGCAGTCAGTTTATATCAAATTGACCTAAGTCTACTATTTCACATACAAATAAGGTTCTAAGTGTTCGGGATTTTTTCATGACTGCCTAAGTCACAATGGCAGTGTAGATCAAACATGCCAAAGTCCATTTGAACCAATCACAGACAGCACTGCGCTGCGTCATGGCCGCCATTGTTGTCTTACTCTCCTGGTGTTTGTATCGTGCGCATGGGTTTTTATCGAATATTGGAAGATAAAATAAGTGTTGTGAGTCCAGAATTAGCTAAAAAGAAGCCAAAGTTTAAGGGGAATGGAAAACAGAATAAAAGCAGCAGGTTTTGTAAGACTAACTGTTATAAATTCACTTTGTTTTGAGTAGGGTTATGATGAGGCGAGATTCATAACATAGGTTAACAGGGCCGGACAGCTAACGGTCGACCGCCACCGGGTTGAGACCCGTGGTCACTTCATGAGAGATTTTTAAATAGTTTTATATATATATATATATATATATATATATATATATATATATATATATATATATATATATATATGCAGTATGTCCGGTCACGGACTAGCGATATTTCAGACATAAACACTCACGCCTGTCACCCAGAGGGGTAGGCAGAGACTACAGACTTCCATTTGGCACGATCCTGACACACCTCTCTCGCCTCCTTCACATCCATACATCTATACATGCATGCTCGTCGGTTAAGGGTACTCCTAATTTGGCCCGTTTTCAATAAATCGCCAATTTGGTCGATAAATTTTCGCCTAGGACGTCCCTTTCCGACTCTGCCATTCACTTCTGCAACATAAATTTTCTTTGTCACTCTTTCCTCATCCATTCTTTCCACATGACCAAACAACCGAAGCATTCCTTTCTTAATCCTGGTCACAACATGATCTTGCAAACCACACTCTTCTCTTATCACACAATTCTTCACCCTGTCATTCAGATTCAGCCCTAACATACTCCTTAACGACCGCATTTCTACTGCATTTATTCTACTCTCGTGCTTCTTCTGCCACACCCAACTTTCACTACCATACGTTAAAGTAGGGACCAACACAGCATTGTGAATTGCCATACGTGCCTTTTTTGACACATTTTGACTCTTCACAATAGAGTGCAGGGCCCCATTTACTCTGTTTCCTGCGTTCACTCGTCGTTCTATATCCTTATCATATCTCCCATCCCCGCTAAATACGCAACCCAAATATACAAACTCATCTACTTGCTCGATCAACTCCCCATCTATTCTTATTTCACATATCGTTTTACTTTCATCTCTTTCAAAAACCATAATTTTCGTCTTACTTGCGTTCACATGTACCCCTTTCTTTTAATGATCTGTTCATTAATGTAACCATCATTTGCAACTCAGCCGCCGACGACGCAAGAATAACTTGATCATCGGCGTACAAAAGGCATTTGATGGTTAACTCACCCATTCTTAATCCGCATTCTTCAACTTTCAAATTTTGCAACAACTGTCCATAAATAGGTTGAACAGCCACGGGGAAGCCACACAGCCCTGTCTGACACTTTTATCGATGCCAAACCAGTCAGAGTAGACCCCATTGATCCTAACACAAGCACTAGAGTCCCTATAAAGAGATTCCAATGCCCGTATTAAGCCAGCGCTCAACCCAAATGAGTTCAGTGTTTGCCATAGCACATTCCTATCCACTCTGTCATAGGCCTTCTCCAAGTCCATGAACGCACAAAAAACCTTTTGGTTTTTGGCCAAAAACTTCTCCGCGATCATGCGCATGGAGAAGACTTGATCTGTACATCCCATTCCCTTTCTAAATCCCGCTTGCACATCCCAAATTTTTCCATCGGTTTCTTTCATGACCCTTTCAATTAGTACCTTGGCATACAATTTTCCCACGATGCTAAGAAGGCTGATACCGCGGTAGTTTTTACAGTCCTGCTGCGACCCTTTTCCCTTATATACTGGGACTATCACGGCTTTGCACCAGTCTCCCGGTACCCGCTTCAGTTCCCAGCATACATTAAACAAGGTGTGCAGCAGGCCTGCCACCACTTCCTCTCCAGCCCTTAGCATTTCGAGTGAAACTCTATCATAACCGGCAGCCTTACCTGCTTTCATGCTTTTCATTGCTTTCATTATTTCATCTATACTTATCTCGCTACCTCCTTCCTCTTTTTTCGGAGTTCCTATTTCATTCAGTTCATACGTTGTCTCCTCACTCATAAACATGCTTTCAAAATATTCCTTCCATCTCTTTAAGGACGCGTTTACAAATCAACCAAAATTAGGGTGTTTTTCGGGAGATTTTGTGACAAAACTAAACCAAAGCAAATATAAGTAAAAACTACCATGTATAGATTGGTTCTTCATCTGCAAACGTCTGTAACTCGTTTGTTGAAAATAGTAGTTTTTTATATTGTAAAAACGAACTTTCGTTGTCATTTTCTACAAAATTAACGATACCGGCTTGTGTTTCGGTACATGTTTTGGTCTATTATCAACATATTTAAAAAAATTTAAAAAATACTATAAGATAACAGACATATTCAATTAAAAAACCCTGTGTTTATTTTTATCAAAATGTCACAAATTGTCGTAGAAAAAATAAAAACTGATGCACATTTTTTCACATATTTTGCTAATACGGATAAATCATAATCTATTGCAATAAGGGCTATTTTATTGTTGGTGCCTGCTTTGATTTATTGTACAAAGATTTCGATGAAACCACAGTCCGCGCTTGGCCGCCGTCGTGAGTGGACACTGTATCGCCTGTATGCAGCGGCTCATTCTGAAAAGATCGCTGTATATACACAAAATATTAGAAAAAAACAAATTGGAAACATAAGTACTTGATAAGTGATAAAATTATTATTTTTATACTCACAGTTTTTTATTTAGCTAAAAATAAGTAGGATATATAAACTTACCTACTACTGCAACTCCTAGACGAGCGGAACTAGGTGTGCCGAGTTTGGGCTCGTTTTGTTGGTTATAATGAGACCTTACCTCCGGACTTGATGGCGTGACCTGAAGGTGTACTTTCGTGACCGCTATTTGAACTTCTTGCAGAGTAAAACTAGGGGTGGCGAATTTGGGCTCCGTTTTGTTAGTTATGACGAGTCCATACCTCCGGACTTGATGGAGTGACCTGAAGGTGTAAATCGGTGATTGCAAATGGAACTCCTAGACTGGTAGAACTAGGTGTGCCGAGTTTGGGTTCGTTTTGTAGGTTATGATGAGACTTTACCACCGGACTTGATGGAGTGACCTGAAGGTGTAGTTCGGTGATTACAAGTGGAACTCCTAGACTTGTAGGACTAGGTGTGCCGAGTTTGGGTTCGTTTTGTAGGTTATGATGAGACCTTACCACCGGACTTGATGGAGTGACCTGAAGGTGTAGTTCAGTGATTACAAGTGGAACTCCTAGACTTGTAGAACTAGGTGTGCCGAGTTTGGGTTCATTTTGTTAGTTACGATGAGACCTTACCACCGGACTTGATTGAGTGACCTGAAGGTGTAATCAGGTGGTTACAAATGGAACTCCTAGACTAGTAGAACTAGGTGTGACGAGTTTGGTTTCGTTTTGTTAGTTACGATAAGACCTTACCACCGGACTTGATGGAGTGAAATTTGGCACACCTAGTTCTACTGGTTCAGAAATACCAGCAGTAGTTACTGAATTACCCCTTCAGGTCACTCCATCAAGTCTGTTGGTAAGGTCTCATCATAACTAACAAAACGAACCCAAACTCGGCACACCTAGTCCTACAAGTCTAGGAGTTCCACTTGTAATCACCGAACTACACCTTCAGGTCACTCCATCAAGTCCGGTGGTAAGGTCTCATCATAACCTACAAAACGAACCCAAACTCGGCACACGTTCTACCAGTCTAGGAGTTCCAGTTGCCATCACCGATTTACACCTTCAGGTCACTCCATCAAGTCCGGAGGTATGGACTCGTCGTAACTAACAAAACGGAGCCCAAATTCGGCACACCTAGTTCTACTCGTTCAGAAATTCCAGCAATAGTTACTGAATTACCCCTTCAGGTCACTCCATCAAGTCTTGTGGTAAGGTCTCATCATAACTAACAAAACGAACCCAAACTCGGCACACCTAGTTCTACCAGTCTAGGAGTTCCAGTTGCAATCACCGCTTTACACCTTCAGGTCACTCCATCAAGTCCGGAGGTATGGACTCGTCATAACTAACAAAACGGAGCCCAAATTCGGCACACCTAGTTCTACTCGTTCAGAAATTCCAGCAGTAGTTACTGAATTACCCCTTCAGGTCACTCCATCAAGTCCGGTGGTAAGGTCTCATCATAACCAACAAAACGAACCCAAACTCGGCACACCTAGTTCCACTAGTCTAGGAGTTCCTGTTGTAATCACCAAATTACACCTTCAGGTCACTCCATCAAGTCCGCAGGTAGGTAAGGTCTTATTATAACTGACAAAACCAGTTCAAAGTCCAGAGCTAACATCTCACTACCAGTAGAGGGCTTCCAGTGCCAAGCAGTCTCTGGAGCAGGTATTCGTATTTCGTATCGAAGTATATTTCTGAGGTAGGTATAAGAAATGAAAAACAAATTCAATCTTTCAAATTATCAAAATAATTTCATTT